CAGAATTTCCAGAATATGGTTATACAGAAAAAGGTGATTCATACATAATAGCAGTAAACGTATTTATAATTCTAAGAAAAAATGCAATATCCGTCAAATAACATCGTACGAAAACAGGATCTATATTTGTTAACTGTTGCTAAAGAGAAAGGCAGTTCAATTGATTGTTTTCATTGAATGGATAAGTTCAGCTTGAAACTCAGCCAAGAAGAACAATCAGTTTCTTTATTGTTGTTAAACTCTTTCCTTGATACTGAGCAACATTCATTTCTGATTGAGTAATACTACCCAACAGCCGTTGCTGACGAATGATCTGTTATATTTGCTATACAGACAAAGTCAATCTAAAACTAATGCGAAGACTAGAGAACTATGAGTTGTCATGAATATTAACATTCATGCTATCATAATGTTGATTTCAACTACTAGTCACGGCTCTTCCGTCACACAATCACACTGAATGTGCTTTACTGGACGATTATACATATGAAATAATTGTGTTAATCAGATACGTCATCACAACATTTATTCAAAGAAAGTACATGGGTTGCGTATAATTGGTGCTTTTTTGCATTAATAATAGCATGTTCTTCTTCAATTAGTCCATGTCAAGATTCGAGTCTTGAGATATAGGAGCAACTGAATTGTGTAATGGTGCTCTTCCTAGGAGGTTGTAACATTTTCTCCAGAATTTTTTCACGAGTACAAAATGAACTTGACGACAAAATCGACTCGATGTCAGTAGAAAGATGTAAAATGTGCCCTACAATGAAACTTAGTAATTAGTACAAATGAAAGAAACTTGCATACTCCGTAATTTGAATAGTACATTGCACTTATAACGGCGATGAAGAGCTGACTAATTGCTGCAGAAAGAGGATTATTCGAATCTATGACTTTATTGAGTATCAATAAACGATGAATTACATAGGGCATAGTAGTGGCCACCAAAAAAGCGACTCGAACGAGAACCATAGCAGTAAGTTGTTGATCGAGTCGTCGTCGAACAATTGGTACATGACGTCGTATAACATGACGTACATTTTGATAGGCCAATACACTGAATGTAAATGAGATAAACATTGGTAAAATACCGACAAGAATTAATAAGTAAAAATATGAATAGTAGCGTGAAAAGTCCGTATTGTATATGTTACAGCCAGCCGATTGTTCAATTCGAAATGATATAAAAACCGGAATGCCATGAAAGACCCATATCACAATATTGATACAAGTGAGTAATTGAGCTAATTTAAGTGTGCTCATTTGTCTGAGACTAACATGATAGCTTGTTGCTAAGTATTGATCAAAGGCTGTGAAACATATTGTTGTTAAAGGTATAAGTCCAGTGATCGTGAACATTGCTGACTTCAATTTGCACCAAAAAAGTGACGTCTGCGATGGATCATAAGCAAAGATGGTGAGGACACTACGTGCAGTATAACCAAAAAAAAGTTGACCACAGTCAATGATCGACTCAACAATGAGATAGAATGCACATTGGTTATGCCGAAACTGTTTGTATTTGGTAAAAACAACAATGTTAAGCATATTACCAACGAGTCCAAGAAACAGAATAGGAAAGAATGTATAGATTGTAATTTGCTTCGATGCATAAAATAGAGTATTAACAGTTGACGACGACATTTTCAATGACCGGCGTGTTTTGCTAGTGACTTGAATAACACTATTGATTCTCACTTGCACGTTTGTCCTATCTAAAAAATAATTTGATAGCTTTTACCCTCGGAATATAGAAAATCGCATGTATAAGCCAGTAAACTACATAAATCAAGTAGGAGTGATTTACGACTTTCTGTCACTAGCGTTCTCTATTTTAAAGCAGATTAAAGATTTGTCTTGTGCTCTTAAATTAAATAAAACTGCTAGTTCATTAAGATAACATGCTGACAATTGAATTCATATGTGAAATTAATTCTTTTACTAATTCGGTTCTGTTCTAGACGAATAGACATACAGCAAGAAAAAATGATAAATAAAATTTATGGAACGATTGCTGGGTCTCCTTGGAATAACTATAATGATATTCTATCTGTACAAACTTCTTGAGTTAGAAGTTCATATACGTGATAATCAAAATAGAGTTATAGGGGTAAAATGGAAGACTCATAGAAATTCAATCGAAATAGTTTCTATCATTTAGGCAGAAGAACGAGCAGAAGTCAATACGAAGAACAAATAATGTGGTAAAATCGAGTCAACTTGACGTCAATTAGCTAGAAAATTCTGAACAGTAGTTTTCATGGTGTTTATATTCTCTTTCTATATCTAACAATGAGTAAAAGATAAAAAAGACTTATAAATAAGGCTTCGATGACACACATCATGCTGATATTCGCTTAAACATTCATCCTACTGTATCTGCTGATCACAATTAGTTAAAATGTCAAAATCAGAAAAAATATTCTACAAACTTTTGTTGGTGCCAGAAACAGATTCTCTTGAAGTAATCATTGCACCACCCCTGTAAATATACTGCTTCTTTGAACTGTAGTTAACTTTTTTATCTTGTCAATGGCTTCTTGATTTGAATAGTATGCAACGACAATAAAATCGTCGAATCATGCATCGTTTATACGAAACAACGTACGAAACTAGACATGAATATGAGAGAGTAAGTGTCTAGGAAATATTGAACGAGAGGAATATGTATCGAAGCGGCAAGAAGTGGAATTGATAAGACATCGATAATCTGATGTCACTTCTTGATTGATTTGCTGCAACTTGTATCAAACATCCAACATCACTGTTGGTCATGATTCTCAAGTGAAGATTTCGAGTGATGCATCTGCACTCGTCTGATCGAGCTCACAAGATTTGCTCTTCTGTTATGATTGATTCGTTGTGAGACTTTATTCATAACCAAATAGCAACAACAACATTTTCAAATTGGCACAATCAGTTGTCCACTTGAAAAGCTTCGAAAGTCAAAAGCCAAAAGTAAAACTACGAATAGGGAAAGATCAAAACTGAAATCTCGAAATTATTTCTAGTTGCAATAGCAAACTGCAACAGACAACAAGGCTCGTCAGTCTATTGACTGATGAAAAAATACAGGATTATGAGTACTTATAGCAATTCAGAGAGAGAAAGAGAAGAGAAAAGAAGATTAACGTGATATAAAAGAAGGAGAGAAGAAGTTAGGAATGAACTATGATGATATGCAGACGGATGTCCAAGCTACGAAAAAACTTCACTATGTAACGGAGAATTTCGTTAGACCAACACTATTTATGTATTTGCTTTCATAATGAGTCTAGAGAGGATACGACTATTGTCCTTGTATTAAATGAAGAATGCACGTTCACATAATAGCAAACGACAGGACAGCAAAATTCTATGAAAAGACGATTAGTGAAGATGTCGTGCAATCGATCATTGAAGGAGAAAATCATTGAAATTGTTTCAGAGCAGACAAGAGCCAACATTATTTATTCTCAAAACTTTCGTAACTTTCCATTTTTGGCATTTAGATTGCAGGAAAAGTTGTAGACAATGGCGTTCGCAGTTGATGTTGCATGTGAACGTTTGATTTGTACCAATCTTGATTGAAAAGCGTCAAGATGACTACAAGTTGTGTTGTGTAATGCCTGTCGAGCCTTTTCTCATTGTCACTAGTTCGATCGAGCTGTTGAAAACCGGAACAGGACTTGTCATTTATATCTTCGATCATTTTCTTTTGTAGATAAGTGGGTTTCCACTGACCAGCGACAATCTGCGATGGTTTTATCTGAATGTCAAGACTGTCTCTTATCAGAAATCTATGTCCTAGTGCAAATACTCATCAAACGAGTACAATTAGGTCCTAATTTTGGCCAGGATATAAACACAAAAGCTTTTAATCTGTTGGTGGAATTTTCTTGTAAGATTTATAAAAAAATTAATGAATAACAAATACTAGTTGTAAAAGGACGTAAAGTATAAGTTTAGGTATTAATGTGAGAGTAGAACAGAACGATATCTAAGCTCACATCCACCTCTGCCGCTTTTGTTGAATCGTTTTTCGTTTCTAATGAATGTTGATGTTGAACTCTCTAGATCATTCGCAAATATTTGAGTACTTTGTACGATCGAATCGCGACGTAAGCGAATCATCTTTAACATAAAGTTGATATTCTTTGATAATTTTGAATGATTGATATTTAAAAAGATTCATTAATCGAATCGATCAGTCTGAAAATTTCTCCTTATCGATCAAATCAGGAGAAAGAACGGTCTAGTGTAACTATCGATAAAGTAGCATAACATGCTAAAACATTGAAAAGTTCATTGATCCAATGAGAAAGTCGCTTCATAGAGTGAAGAGCACGATACCACTGGTTTTTTTGTCTTCTACTCGCTCGTCCTATTCAACAACATCTGTGTATTAGCAATGCATAAAGATATTTTATTAAATTATTAACTGAAGAAAATTCATAAATCGTTTTGTGTCAGATTGTTGCACATTGAACAAGTATGCTCATTGTTTGAACGTCTTTTCCATATCAATGACAAATCGATATTTGACATCTGAATTAAGTATTCGATCGAATGCCGTGCCAAGATTCGAGGGTGATCCTTCGATCAACTCAACGTCACCTAAAACATAAATCAATCAATATAAGTAACAGATTCAATTTTATCAATGAAACAATATTTTTTTTTTCAATTTTTCAAAAAGTAAATTGTCATTTCTATGTAATTTATCTGTTCATCCAAAAATTTTAGTCAAGTTGATCTTCGAGTTTTGAAATATTTTAAAATAAAAACTATCTGATTCACGAAGAAAATTTTGTCGAACTTGTCAAACTTGATCGAATGTATTCTCCTTGTCAAATTAGTCACATAGAATAAAATTCACAACTCTACTTTGAGACAAAATATTTTCTTTCTTTTCGATTCAACCAAACAAAGCTTAATATCACTACAATGATTTACTACATCTAATTTGAAGAATTCTGTCGATTTGTGTTCGATATAAAAATCATTGCTCATGTGATCTATCCATATTCTGATTGTCTATAGATTCGATGAAAACTAACTGAAACAAAGCCAGAAATAATATTCTTACATGTTATATTGTGTTGACCACTAAAATCAAGCATTTCTTGTGTTTCTTTCATTCCACCAATGAAAGAACCTGTTACATTCAAGCGTTTTTGAATTAGAGAAAATGGTGGAACTTCAAGAGGTGTCGGCGGTGCTCCAATCCTATAGAAAATATGTATGTTTGCAAAGAATTTCTTATAGATCTTGTATACTCACATGCAAAAAGTACCTCCGAATCTTAAAGTACTCAATATATGGATAAGATCATGTTTTGCCGAAACGCAATCAATAATTAAGTCAAATTTATTCGTAGCCGCATTGATTTGCTCAAAATCTGTAGACAAAATGAATTGTTTTGCACCAAATTTAATGGCATCATCACGTTTCGATTTTGAAGTTGAGAAGACCGTTACATCAGCACCCATTGCTACGCCGTATTTGATGGCTAAATGTCCTACTCCACCAAAACCAACAATACTAGCGAGAACATTACTTTATTTCCCAGAAATCACTGGAGTATGATCACCTACCCCATTCGAGTATCTTTACCAACGTTATGTTGACGAAGAGCAGAATAGACAGTAATACCGGCACAAAGAAGTGGAGCTACTTTATCCAAAGGTAGGTTGTTGGGAATTTTCAATACAAAATGTTCAACCACAACAATTAAATTTGAATAACCTGCCAAAAAGAAGATATAAATGAATCTCTCTCTCATTAATGATGAAGAGAACCTCAAAAAAAGTATTGAGTAAGGTCAGTATCAGTCAATTGATTATCGAATATGAACTGATTCATTATTAATAACTTCTTCATCAATCTAATCTATGTACATATATTTTCCACTCATGTGTTTATTCGTTGAAGAAGAGAACTTTGAAATTAATATAAAAAAAGTTCTCTCTACTTAACTATACTAGAATAAGAACTATTTCTTCTTTATTACGGAGAAATCGATTTGAAGGAGTACAATATAATCACAATAAGAGGTTTTACTTGATTATAACTGTCATCTACGAGTTGAATACCTCCATATGTTGTCGTCTTTTTGTCCATTTCGGTACTATTAAATGTTCCCACACAACCTTCAGTGCAATGTTGTTCAAGATTCTTCTTGCCTACAGATATATTAGAATCAATTTCATGAATAAGAGATAAATATTTACATTGATTGCATTGACGACAGGAATTAACAATGAATCCGACTCCAACATGATCACCTTGCTTGACTTTAGTTACTTGATCACCTACTTTTTCAACAATACCTACTATTTCATGGCCGGGTACCATTGGATACTTGCTATTCTTCCATTCATTTTTCACCGCATGGATATCACTAAAAGATTATTTAAAACTAACAGAAAACAGAACGAAAGTCTTACCCATGACACATACCGCAATATAAAATTCGAATGAGAACATCGTCAGGATTTATAGGACGTCGAGGTAAATCCCACAATTGAAATTGACCATTTATTTCACGCACAACAAAGGCTTTAGATAATATGACATCTCCGGCTGACGTACTGCTACCAGACATTTTGTCTCAAATCTGAAATTTTCTATAATAAGAGTTAGAAGAGCCGATTATCCTATTGTTTAACAGATCAACATGCTGTTAATCCGCATGAAAAAGACATAGAGTCAAAAACGAACAATATGTTTATCATCATCACAACGTGATTTGTTTCTTTCTTTCAAATGCAATTGATCTAGAGCTTTTTTAATAGAAATCTAAAACAAAGAGTCAAATAGTGTGTCATTTGTAAACACAAAGTGAAAAATGACACTCTGATTTTACAAAGAAAGTATCACAAAGATGCCAAAACGTGACCTACTTGAAATTGATGAAAGAAAGAAATGTTTCATGTATTAATTACTACTAAGTTCAAAGGAAAAGACGAACTCTGGTTTTTATGAAAGGCTCTTTACTATAGGCTCAGGAAGTAAAGAGTCGATGAATTTGTATCTATATAACTCTGGGCAAAAGAAAATAACTGTTACTCGGACTTCCTAAGCACTTGAATCCTATCGATGTTCAATTGAAATAATTTCAATTTCTGTCATTATTGTATAGATCATGGAATGGAATCGAATATAGATGATGATGATGAAGAAGAATTTTATTATTGATTTCCACACAACCATAAAACACTGGCTGATGATTTTTGATTTTTTTTTCAAAACTCAATAAATTCTGTTTACTTTCTGTTCAATTAATCCGAAAAGAAAACAGACATGACGAATAGCAGAGAATGTTAAAGATGTGATTTCATCTCTTAGTAAGTTTCATTTTTTAAAAGTTCATTAATTATTAGTCTGAAAACGTCAGAGCATACGATGTATGTCTATTAACGAAAAAATTAAACGTTTCGAATATTCTATGCAACGTGAAGCAGAATGTCAATAATTCTCAAAAAATTTACCCTTGATACTTTGTTTTTATCAGCAAAGTATACAATCTAGTGCCAATCGAAAATCATCAGAATCTTGAGTCCTTGGCTATAATTGAGGGTCCTTGCTATTAAAAACACTGTTGATCTACTAGCTAATGCATAGGATAGGTTCATTTTAGACCTATTATTTCTAAAATACACTAATGATAATTGATTAAGTTTTCAATTGACGTACTTATGAAGATTATTATATATTTAGACTCAGCAGCGTAGAAGGAATATTTGAGTAAAATATTTCATCTGCTATTCTCTTAAAATGTATGGATGGCGCCACGTATCAGTACATTGTCTCAGAGCATCGTGACAGGAATATAACAGAAATAGGCTCTGTCACATCAATTACATTTCCCACTTCAACTTTTAATATGGTGTTTCGTAATCATTGCAACTTGGTTCTTTTAAACACATATTTTGCAAACTTGTACTATTTCTACTTTTCATAATAGAAAAAAATCGAATATTACGTAAAACATACAATCAAACAACAACATGATATCTTGTAAAATAAAAAATTATTAACGAAAAAATATGAGCCATCGTCAAAATCGAAGAAAGCCTTGATGATTACAATCGATGGACAAACATTTCCGAATGAGTCGCTTTCTAGAAAGTGAAAAGTGTAGCAATATGAAAAATAAATTCTAATTAACCTTGAATAGAGTATTGATGTGAAGTTCTATAGCTATTGCTTTTGGTCGATTCTTCTGAACCTACTCAGAAAATTTCGATTAAGTAGCAAAACGATATGATGAAGGGTCATACGTGATGTATTGGGAGTATGGCGAAGCTCAATACAATCATTAACTCCATGGTTCTGGAAACTGATGACTACAAAGTTCTTCTGCATTTGAGACGGAAGATGCTAGGGAAATAAAAATATAGAGCATTGTACCAATTGAGAATGCCACGCAACAACATACAATAACAAATATATTTTTCTTACATGCATCTAAAGGATTATTGCATATACACAAGTAACTCTAATATTTCCTACAATATTTTATTCATGAGATGTAAAATTTTCTAAAAATTACAAAGAAAATTGTGTCAATTAGAGTAAAAATTATTTTTCAATTTTTTTTTTCGGTAAGACTTTTATGCTTTTTGAAAATTTCACAATTCTAAAAAATAACATAAATAAATTTTTTCCAAATCTATTTATCAGCTACTTAATTTCATCTGATCATAAATGTCGAAAGTAAAATTAAAATCATACTACTGATACTATATTACATAAAAAAGAATTTTCAGGAAAAACAAATTCATTAGTGAATAAGAATCAATTATTTTGTCAAATTTTCTTTCTGTGTTTCTATCGTCTACGGTCTTGATATGCGTGTGTGGATGTTAGAATCGACTTATGCTATCAATCGACAGCCTCAAAAAGATTCAAAACACAGTAAATTTCTTTTAGAGTACAAAAAAACCACAAAAACTAAGCTTTTATACACCAATATTCTTACAGTAGATTTGAAACACCTAACAATGATTTTGTTGTTGCATATACTTTATTTATTCTTGAAAATTAATAGTTGTTTATAGTAGAGTACAAAATATAGACGTCGGAGATGAAGGTTTGTAACTGTCATTGGGTGTGATTGGTATATATTTTTCGATTGCATGAAGAAAACGTATATAAGTGTCAATTGTTAGAAGTTTTTGTTGACCATCAGCTGCTGCTACTTCAGCTTTAAATGTTTGAAACATTAGATCCCAATATATTTTGCATCTTTTATGAGTTTCATAAAGAAGATATCCATCCATATTTCCCAACACTGGAAGAAGACATTCGAATTTTTCGTTGATAAGAAATGATTGAACATGAGTTTTTGTCCATTGATTAATACAATGTGGATAATCTCTGAAAATAAAATTCTTTCCCTATCTAATTATGCATTTAGTTGATCAAAACGATTCAGTATGAATAAGAGAAAAATATTGAAAATTTCAAAACAAAGTAATTTTTATCAAGACATCGATTCTTTCCTGGTATATGCGAGTAGATATTCATTTTGAAACTTCTGAAATAAATTATTTTTTGCTAAGAAATGTTTTGTTTTTCCGTCTACGTTATTCTAAACTTTTCTTCGATGATATTCATTTGAGTGAATCAGAAGTTTTTCATATAGTTAATATTTGCTGATAACTCACCTAACTAATGAATGATATTCATATGATTTGACAGGTAGATTTATTATTTCCATATCTAAGCCATGTTCAATCGATTTCTTTGTTGAATTCGATTGAGCTTGACTTGTTCGATATCGAATCATTTCATTTTTCAAATTTTTATAGGCAATATCGAAACCAAGTTTAGGAAAATCGATATAGATCTTTCCACTAGCAATAATTCCTAACCATCCATCTGGTCGATAACCTGGTTTCATCATCAATGGAATCAAATAACATTGGCGTTCGAAAGCATAATGAGCTTCAGATTGACAATAAGCACTTTGTTTGTATGCATCTGACATGCATAAAAATACAAATTCTGAATTTTCAATAGCAGTAGCAATAGCAACCATTGTTTGTCCATGAATTTCATATCGATCAATCCATACTCGAAAATTATCTTTGACAAGACAATCATGAATACGATAACACAAATCCTTATCACTATGTGAATAACTCAACATAATATCATATTTCTTAATAGTAATATCAGATTTTGTCGATGTTTCATCCGATTTTGTGTTAATTGTTTCTTCTTTTTCCAGTTTCCACAGGAGATTTTCAGCGACTCTCTGTAGATCTTGTTCAGTAGATGAGATAAGCAATGTTTTCAAATTTGAAATGAATTGAGAATTATCTTTGAGTTGACATGCAGCATTATGATTGAATGTTAGAGCAAGAAGAATTTCTAATGCTGATAGTTGCACTTTGATAGGATCAAATTTTGATTCGGTTACACAACGAAGAAGAAGAGTTAAGACTCCTTGTTTTGTTAATTCTTCTTTTATTTGATCATGTTGAACCAAGACTAAATAAGAAACTCGAATAATTTTCTACAATTCAAATGTGTTTGTTTTTTTTTTCTTCTGATTTTCGATGAACAAATCAAAATTCAACTTACTCTTGAGACTACGAAGTAAATTATGGAATCGTGGTATCCTACTGGAATCATCGATAAGATTAGTAAAAAATCTAAGAAAAACAATGGCAATTTGTGTCGAATTTTTTAATGTTTTGATATCGTCTTCTGTCATAATTGAAGCTAATATGCGATAAATATGAAATTGTATGATTTCATCCTCAATAGTAGCTATTTTTAATAATAATGGAACAATATGTTTATTTTTTATATATGTTCGTAAATCATTTGTCATTGTCAAAGAATACAAATTTTGAACGAGAACTCTTATTAAATCTTTTGTTATTTCATCCATTGTTTTACATTCCATTATTGTATTTAATATGGAAGATAATTGATCGATCATTGTACAATAACCTTCACGAATTGATTGAGGAAATAGTTCTTCATCGCTAGCATTTCCACCGATTAATGTAATACAAAATTGACCAATAACTTTAATAGCTACTCTACTCAATTTTTTATAAGATAAAAGCTGAGTTTGAAACCAACAAGTAAAACTATTTAATTGAGCAGTTCGAACGGCTACACAAGTTTTATTATAATGATTACCATTGTGCCAAGATATGTAATTAGTACAAGTATCGAGTAAAAATGTTTGTGCTTCATTGAGTTTTTCTAATTCAGCTATTTGTTTAAACATATCAATGAAATAATTTGAGCATACACAATCAACAACACTATCGAGTAGTTCAACTAACATTGGTATACTCTGAATATCTGTTCGACCTTTCTGAAGATAATGAATTGCTCGAAGAATATAATCAATTGCTTCTATTTGTTGATCCTGCAAATGTTTACCTTGTGTAGCGATATCCTTGAGACATGCATGAATTTCATCAATCAAAGATACATGAATTAAGAGTTGTTTCAATGGATCAATATCATCATCGACAACATGTAAACAAAGTTCAGCAAATAGAATAGCTATTTGAGTGAAAACTTGACCAGATATTGAATCGAGTATTTGATCAGTTCGCCATCGACGCAGAA